CATGAACATTGCCTATATTGTGAAACACTGACACGGTAATATACGTGTCCGCGTTTGTATTAAAACATATACGGCGCTTTACTCAATGAATTTAAGATCAATATTAAGAAGTCTATCAGAGAATTTGAGAGGATTAAAATAAGATAAATAGGCATAATATGTCCATGATATTCGACTAACCCTGTTTTAATGAAGATAGACTGCCTAAATATATATTTTTTAAAACTGCATGATTCAGCGCTTGGCAATTTAAACATAACCTTGTGAAAAGGCCAACTGAAATCGCAAAACAATCAACGACGACTGAACACTTTAAATAAATGCTTATAAAGCATTTGTACAGTGTAACCCGGATATAAGAGACCCGGATATAAGAGAAACCCGGATATAAGAGAGATTTTCTCTGGTCCCAAATTAGAGCCTGTGTTAATGTATATAAAATAGACCAAACCCGGATATAAGAGAAAGACAACTCGGTTACACTGTATAAAGATATCATTAATAAATTTGAAATTCTAGATCGTCTGAACATTTAAAAAATTGATAAACTACATAAAAGAATATATAAATATAACATTATTATATAAATATAAAATAAAGTTGTCTCCCTTTGCCGCAAGGTAATTTTTCTCGCCGGAACCGAACCTTCAAATCTACAAATCAACCATTCACCCTTGCATGGAGTATTGATACCATATATGGTCTGGAGCCCCTTCTGTTTGTCTCAAGTTTCTTGATAAGATCCAGAGACGGATATGCAATGCAATGTAATTGGCCCTGATCTGGCATCTCGTCTGCAGTTGCTCTCTCACAGACGTGCCGTCGCCTCCCTCTGTCTCGCTGGTTCCCAAACTTCATGAATTTAAGCATTCAACTAGGCTGGCATCTTGCTCTCACCCTTTCAGCGTCGAAACTGTTAAATGTAGCCGTCTCTTCTACTCCAACAGCTTTATGTCTCGCACTTCTCGCCTGTGGAATTCCCTCCCCTTTTCCTGTTTCCCTGATAGCTATAATCTCCAACTATTCAAATATAATGTCAATCGACGTCTCCAAATGCCTTGATCTACCCCCTATCCTTCTCTTCATCCTTTCATCTATCACTCCTATTTGGACTCACTCCAACTCTCTGTAACCCCTTGCGTGCTAGTGGCGTCCTGCCTTGCTTGGAGGTGAAACGCTTATAAAAAAAATATTAATCTCCCAAATAATAAATATAAATTCATTAATATCTCTAACTACTAGCTAACGGAACAGCAAAAGAAATTACTCAAAGTTGGGCCATTTATCTTTATAAACAATACAATAGATTGGATAAAAAACACTGAAATTGAAATGTCATATTAAAACATACGAAAACTTAATAAACGACACCTAATAAAAACAAAACCAGAGATTCGTGATCTGTTCAAAGTCGAAACAATAAAAGAGAGACGTGTCAAAAGAAATAAAGAAAATTCCAGCACAATAGCTAAACATCGCTGACAAAGAACTACGTAACTATAGTCATATAACTTTAAACAAAGGCATATAAAACCAATAACTTTGTTGTATTAATTAAATCTGATTATAATTCAAAATTATAACAAATACTGGACGATTAAACCAAATTGTTAACCAACTGAAATTGACAATCAATAAACTGATCACAGTCAACAACGCAAAACAGAACTTAAACCTTCCCAAAATAATTGGTGACTACAAACCAGGATACATCTATGGAACAATAAAAATACATAAACCTAACTTCCTTCTACGTTATATTATCTCCCAAATCTCCACTGCGGTTTACCAATTAGCTAAAAGTTTTTAACCAACATATTACACCATACATACCTAGTACATGCAGTATGAAATCAACTCACGAGTTAATACAAATCTTAAAAACGTAATAACGAAACCATAGCCTCATTTGATGTTGAAAATTTATTTACCAATGTCCCAGTTAGAGAGACGAATTATATCATCCCAAAGAATGTTTACAACAATTCATCTCTCCCGCCAGTAAAAATGAAACCTAACATACTATGGAAACTAATTTTGACTTGTAACAATGAGGTTCCCTTTCCTGACCATCGAAATAATATCTAAGTAAAACGTGATGGAATTTCCATGGATTCAGTCCTTGGACGAATATTTAGTATATTCTATAGGACTAACTTTGAAAAAAGGATATTTTATACTACTAAAAGACCTCCATCTACCTAAGATATGTAAATAATATTCTCATATTAGTTAAAAACATAGATGAACTACAACAAACTCTGTTCATAAATTCACATCTAAACTTAACAATAACAATAAAACTCATTTACTTTATATATTGACAGTTCAACATTCCAGCCACCTGAAGAAGGCCGGAGCATACAACAGCCGAAACGTTGTAATAAATATGGCAACAAAGATGAGGACAATAGTCAGAATAATGTAAATAGTGTACAGAATACCTCATCTCAGAAATATAGACAGATGTTGATATGTCGTAAATCAAACGAAACCAAACAGATAGATAGATAGATAGATAGATAGATAGATAGATAGATAGATAGAAAATATAACCAGTAATAAAAATCTAGTCGCCATTGAATAACCCATTGAGGTTAATATGTCGTAAAACAAAACAAACCAACCTAAACCTAAATATTTATTGGCTGTCTTAACACGGGAGCTTGAGCTTTGTCGTGCATAAAAATGTCTTATTCAGCTTAAGTGTAACGGTTTGACAACAAGTGTTTCTCCCCAAACCATATCCCTACGCCATGCAGACGCCTCAACCGGAAAGACTTAGTTTTCTCCTTCAGGCACCACTCGTTTCGCCAAATACCGACACCATTCAGATTTCTTGTTCGGGCATAACAATTTCTGGAAATCTAGTATCACAGATTGTCTGTCCAATTTACCAGAGTTGGTGAGGCGATTCTATTTAAAAGGACAACCGAACAATTGGTTTAGTAAACGTCCCCTAAATATTTAAGAATATGGCATCGAGATGTCTAGAGAACATTGTCATCGCATAACTCACTAGCAAATTTTACTAAGTGCACAAGCATCTCAAATATCAAGTGAGGTTTTATTCCACTAGCGTAAAAATATAAGAGAAATCATTTGCTGACCCCGAATTAAGAATTCCAAAACGTGTCTGTTTTTGTTTTGACCACGTACCTTTGCTGGGATTGGACGTCAGTTCCGTGATCCTGTGAATACACAGACACTTACAATACCTTCACAAAAACCACAGCTTCTGTTAGATATATTTGCATATTAATACTAGCAGTCAATGGAGAAGCTATGACCTAGCTTTTTTTTTGGTAAATTCTTGCTGTAATTTTTTTTTTCGTAACCCCTAGGGTCGTAGTGGAAGCATTTTTACTGCAGCAACAGTAGAAATGGTGTTTCTTGGGCAACACAGCCTGACAGAGTCCAACCCTTTTCAGGCCAGTTTTGAATTTAGAGTTTTTCCTTTTCCTAGACTGGTTGCCACCCAAGGTTATAGAATCCAGTCTGTCCTGCTACTTATCCATAGCTGGGGGAGAAGAAACAATGGTATTAGCACGTAAGTGAATGTAATAGATCCAACTGGAATTCGAACTCGGTTCTCCGATTTCCTCAGTCCGAGCCGCTATCCTTTATAACCAGCACTAAAAGTCTTGTCGGCATTAAATAACCCATTGAGGTTGATATGCCTTAAAACAAACCAAGCCAAACCAAACTATAGTTAAATCTACCAATTTCACTAATAAAAGCATAAAAACTATCTACCAATCTCGTACTAAATTCATAAAGTCGAGGTGACAAAGGTGAAAGTTCATCAGAACAACTGCCTTGAAATATTTATAGAAAAAGCTCAGGGAAATTACTTTATGGCATTAGTAATATGATTGAAACCAAGATGTCAGGTCGGTACCGATAATATTGCAGTTTCTACTTTGGATTTTGGTAAGAATCTCTAGTTATATAGCAGAAGTGGCAGATCAGACATGCCAACAATATTCATTGCACTGATGAATAGTAGAGAAGCAAAATACATTCTGGTGAGAAAAAATGTCTAGCACTACAGAATGGACTAACATTGCTAGCAACAGATTTTATTCAGTATAATTATTATTATTTATTGTATTTAAAATACAATTGCGGCACAAGGCCCAAATTAGGAGGATTTGAGGCTAGTCATCACTATCTATCTTATACCTAGGTAATCTGATTCACGGCCCATTCACTCATTACAATTTGCCCATTCACCACAAGAACTCGTCCGTCACCAATCAATCCTCCATCCACCATAATACCGCATCCTCTCAACGGGGGGGTGCCTACAAAACGCGCGCCATGCCATAAAAATCTATTGATTAATACTTAATCTATACTTAAAAATTTATGGATGAATAGAATGAGAGGGGGGGGGAATGAACCCCAAAACAAAGTAAACTAAACATAACTGATGCTAGTAGGGCCCGCCCGACCCTCAAAAAAAGAGAGGCCGCTGTATTCGGCTCCTTGGACAAAATCAAGAGGCTCTCTCGCTAAGAGAGTGGGAAAGGAGAAAAATATACGAACATGGGAAATAAAAAGCTGACCCCGTCGAGATAAAAAGGGGCCGAAACAAACTGGGGAGGTTGGGAATCTCAACTTGGATCATAAGCAAAGAGGCAGCTGGGAACAGGTAAGGAACAACTCTTACTCACATTAACTAGGTACACAAAAGCTTGTCTAACCTAACCAGGGGGAGGGCTCCACAGGAAACCACCCCGATGTGACGTAGGTTGACCTAGAAGAGAAAATCAAGGCGAGATCCGTTCAAACGAACCAAGCTCGCCTCTTTCACCCACCTTTCGCTGAAGACTGTCGAATGCACGCGTTTTCTATCAGTTCTAATCTTCATCTTGAGCTGTTAAGAATGCTACACGCCTTTAATTAGCATCAGCCCTTAGGATAAATGAATCGCACGAAATGTTGTGTATCTCATATCGTTTAAAGATCGTGAAGCAATTCGACAATATTTGCCTCTTATTTGTTCAAACATGATTTGCTGTTGATGGTGCATAAAACTTAGAACCTTGACAGTTAAGCAACCTATACAAAAGTTCCTGTAGTTTCCTTATTATTATAGAGAATAACATGTTATTGGCCACAGTTACGCATGTCAGCTTGCGAAGCGTTTAACTCAATTAATTTTAAATGGGAATGGGACGTTCCGACGTAGTCCATTTGGCATTTTTCGACAGAGGGACGATTAGGCGTCAGATTTCGACTTCGTCTTTATAGTCAAATTTGCTCTCTCTCTTTCTCTCTCTCTCTCTCTCTCTCTCTCTCTCTCTCTCTCTCTCTCTCTCTCTCGTTTAGTAGCCAAATTACTACTTCGTCCAATTTAAGAAAAATAGTAGTTGGATACATTTTTATATTTAAAAAAAGGAGTAGTTGGAGACATGTTTATGTTTAAGAAATGTATTAGTTGCTACCAAGATCTGAAACCTTTATGAACGAACTCTAATTAATAAAGACTGCGCCAACAAATCACGCCAAATCTGTCAATCGACGTTTGCAATATGAGCTAGAAATGCGTCGTCCTTCAATCTGGAAATTTATTGATGCCTTACGGAAAGTTCAGAAAGGATCATTAGATCCTGTTGAGTTTCTGAAGAATGTTGCTAATAATTACGAAATGAAGAAGTAATTTCTAAGATTAAATGGCATTACTAAGTTCTTGAATTTTTTTGAAATACAATATTTTTAATTTAAGTTTTTAATTTACATTATTCCATTAGTGTTTTAATAGGATCATTAATTCCCTAAAAGAATAAAAAGTCATATTGGAAGTTGGGTGTTTTCAATGCTTTTATCCTTTTTTTGGGGGTGGTGGAGGGGTTACCTCCTGTCAAAGACAGTGATGTCGAAACAGTCTGACGTATAAACGGCTGTACCGAATAGTCCACTTATTCTTCTGACGCCGAATCAGACACGTCAAATCAGTGACGTCAAATGGGCGATGCCGAAACGTACAAAAACTCATTTTAAAAATATGCTGTGAATAAGAACATATCTGAGAAAAGTGATTTACAGAAAATCCTGGTAAGTCATATCCATCTATCTAAGTATATATATATATATAGTGATTTTCCAAGCATAGCTTATATGTGGCATATATATATATATATATATCAAAGTATATAATTGGTATATACGGAATGAATTCCAATAACCAACAATTACTATTCTTAAAAAAGTGCTCAATACAAAGTAGAGCAGATATAATTATTTTTTATAAAAAATTATAACATAAGTATGTTATAAAATCACTACAAAAATAGCCATTTTGTTTCAACACATTCTGTGTCTTCTCAAGTGATGATGTTGAAAATAAAATAAATGGTTTTTAAACTTAATAGTGATTAAATTTGGATTTTAAAATTACCAATTTTTAATTTTAATATTAAATTTTATCATATGATTTTATAATTATTAGTTAGTATAAATTATTTTTAATATTACACGTATTTAAAGATCTGAATAGCTATTATAGCAGGATTTCGTTGTCAAGCTTTTGAATCTTTCTATACTTCGTTTTTGATTGGTTATTCTAGCTTTTGTAACAATGCTCCCCCTAGTGTAGGATCGTTAATTAATCTGAAACTTTTTAAAACCATTTATTTTATTTTCAACATCATCACTTGAGAAGACACAGAATGTGTTGAAACAAAATGGCTATTTTTGTAGTGATCTTATAACATACTTATGTTATAATTTTTTATAAAAAATAATTAATATATATATATATATATATATATATATATAGAGAGAGAGAGAGAGAGAGAGAGAGAAAGAAATGAAATTGGACATCTTGGAACATATACAGCTTCCGAAGGACCATCCTCTCAATCTAGAATTTGACTATAAAGCCTGCGGAAAAATAAGTAGGACGCCCTAACAATTGGTTTAGTAAACGTCAGTAAATTCTTCAGTAAGCCACCTAATGCCACATTTTAAACTCATTTAAGACTTGATAAGCTCTCTTTTTTAACGGCTTACGCATTTCAAATTAAGTAACGGTTCCTCGGGCGAAAAGAAAATACAAAAATTAGAAATGTCTTAATCAGCTGATCCTAATCCAAGAATTTCAAAACGTGACGATCTTTCTTTGCGTATCTTTGCTGTGATCGGACGTCAACTTGTAGGTGTGAATATCAAGAAGTAAGGACATCTTATTTAACAAGAGATTTGGTCGAAGTTGTTGATTTTCTTTGATCTCTTCAAACAAGAATTGTCCTTTTCTGATAACGCCATTCTTTTAGATGAAGCACGTTGGTTCGTCAAATGTTTCATAATCGATTTCAACACCTTGAGTTATTCTTCATCAAACAAACTGGTGTCGCTGTGAATGATATGCGGAACCTGATGACCATACTTTTACTTGTACCTACGACGTTTCATAGCATATTTATTGGCCAAGGGTGTCAGTTCTTCGCTAGAGGCTTCTGCTCGTTCCTGAACGTTAACACACAGGGAATGGACACTTTCAAGATACTACTCTTTGGAATTGGCAGCTGGTAACAGCAGAACGATGTGCCTTTTGATTTCGTTTGTCTGACTGAAAGTTTTAA